AAAAATACACCTAATTTTTTAGCAATAGCGCATGCATGCTGCCCACCAGCTCCACCAAAACAAGCCAGTGTGTGTTTCGATGTGTCGTGTCCTCTTCCCTAAATAAACAACAAAAAAGTGATCGATTTACAGCAACACTATCTTGAATCCCTTTGCCGTTTCACAACCCGATTCCCAGAAAAGCCATGGTCACCAGCTCGAAGGATAGTAGGTAAAATCGCGTAACAAAAAATATAGATATAAAAGATGCCAAACACCGAGCGCCATTACATCAAATCAATACAGAGGAGAATATTTTGCAGCGGCTGAGGGAAATGCGTGCTGGTGAGTGGGGGAGTGAAATTAACGTCATTTTGCTGCATTTGCTGTAAATAAGCAGATGCTGTGGCTTAGTCTTGAGAAAGAAAGCAACAATTTTTTCAAAAAGATGGCATGACTGTACAGCGCAGAAAAGAGATACAAAAGGAAGGCAAAGTCGACTTAGCGCACTGAGCCTCGATGTTCCCAGCGATGACAGTAGTTTCTGAAGACAGTAAATTTGAAGGGCTTGGTGGTGGTGTTATTTGTATGGGAAAATACTGTTGAAATGAGGTTCATCGTGTTCGCAAAGAGGCAGTTAACAGTATTTTGAGACTAAGAACTTGTATGTGGCCCCAAAAAGTCTCAAAGATTCGCTGTTTTTAGCTGGTTTTCGATAACGAAAGAGCGATGAAGGACATTCAACACTGCTTCTTCTTCACAATGTATTAATTTTAAATTGTGAAGCACGCAGAAACTTAACGATAAAAGCCAAACCTGCGTGATGGACCGTATTGCACGGCACATTGCCTCATTGGCCACATCAATGAAACCAAGCGCAACCTCCTGCACAGACATTGGCTGCCCAGAAGCAACAGGATGATCCTGATAAAATTTGTTTACTTGATCCATCAGGCCAGCCATTTCTTTGATCGCAGCATCTCTGAAATTTCACCGATATTCGTCTTAATTGTGTATCACCAATGAATTCCACATCTGCAACAGATATCAAGAGCATCTATCTTTTTGACCAATCTAAATGATATCTAGCTGGTCACAAAAACCGCACGAATGTGAAAATTCGATAGCAAGCGGAAATGCACTCACAAGCCGGACAATAGAAAATTTGAAAAAATTCGTTATTTTTAAAAAAGTCTCTCATTTTTAGTTTAAAAAAATCTGTTTTCGATAAAAGATTGCTCATTTTTCCAGTTTAAGATTTAGTTCAAGATACTTGTAGTTCAAGATGAATTTTTTGACAAAATTCGGGGTTTTTTTTCTTACATACGACTCCTTGGTCTTGTTTTCTTTTCATGTGCATTTTGTATCCCAAGTACGCCAACGTACTTGTATTCACCAGTGTACTAACCCAGTTTTTCGAAGAATTAATCAATACCTGTCTCTGACTGATAAACTCACTTATCAAGCGGTTCTTTTTCAGATGCTCCGAAAATATGCGGAAAAAACTCCGGAACAATTCTTCCGAGGACGACATTTGCATCCGTAATCGAAAGGTAGCCATTTTTACGGTAGCATACTGGCCCTGGATTTGCACCCGATGATTCTGGTCCTACGACAAACAGGCCGTTGGAGAAGAAAAGACGTGAACCACCACCGGCTGCAACCGTATGTATATCCAACTGAAAAATAACTGGTACAGATTCA